CTCCTCGGTCTGTCGAACATTTAATGATCTTCCCTCGGCGGGGGTGTATTAAATGTCCAGGCTTTGGGACATTTATTACCTTTCACTTCCAAGCTCTCATGCATTAAATGTTGTCTCATCAAGGGAATGGTGCATTAAATACTTGCTTTCCCAAGTCGTGTGTCAGCAAGGGCATTATGGTCTTTTTGTCTCTGATCTGACACAATACGCCATGTGCCCATTCCCCTTTGGTTGAGCCTTCTACTTTCTTGTGCCTCCTGACACCATTTGAGTAAGACGAGGTCATGATGGCTAGTCTAGCCTAACCTAGGCTAGTGATCTATCCATCAATAACCCCTGTAGGAACAGAAAAGCCCACGCGGATAGATACACCTCGGTGCCGAGGGACTAGCATGATTTAGGACCGATATACCCAAACTACCGAGGAATACATGTCGGTCCATGGTGGTTTAGGGATTCTTGATCCCTGTGAATAGCATTCTCGGGGCAGGGGATTGGACCGACGAAGACGTGTCGGTATCACAACGAGAGTCTCCATTGACGCCGAGTACACTTGTCATCAACTGGGAGTGTCTGAAAATGTCCCATCAGTAATAATGTAGGATTAAGTGAACTGTTACATGTTCTCTCTCTCTCTCTCTCTCTCTCTCTGAGATAGGCAGAGAAATGGTACATCCTAAGTTGAACAAAGCCCGAGAAGTTAGTATTCTGGGTTGTAGAGATGGAGACATAAGAGAGGTCAGATATTCAATGAAATAAAAAGAAGAATAGCTTGTCCAATTTGTAGAGAAATAGAGTAAGAGGAAATAGTAATGTTAATTGTCTCGTGTTTGTATAATGTATATGTCGTGTCATTTGTGTCGTGTCATTATTATTATTCGTATCGTATTCGTGTTTCAAACTCACGAAAAACATATTTAATGTGTTTTGAGTATTAAACATTAGTCTAGACTATTTATTATACGTATTTAATAATTGTGTCAATTTTATAATCATTCGTGTCGAGTTCGTATTAACATATCAGAGCTGACACCCTTAAGAGGAATGCTACATGAACTTAAATGCAGACTTAAAATATAAATTTAATTAATTAATACATTGTTTTTATTGTGGGTCATAATATTTATTAGGACCTACTAGCTGTTCAATTGTTATGATTGATCAAGTCTACATTTTAAGTCTAAATAACATTTCTAAATAAGAATTATTCTTAACTTTTCTTATTTTTTTATTAATTTTAATTTTAAATTATATAATTTTAAAAAATAAAATATCTTTATACACGATACAATTGTTGGTAATAAGGTACATGTTAGAGAAAAAAAAGGGACAAAGGAGGACAAAGGTTGACATATTGAGAGAGAGGGCAGCAAGGAAAAAGAAAGCAAATGTGAATGGGGAGAGACAGTGAGGCTAAAGGCGACGTGACAATGATGAGAAGAGTTTAAAAAGCTTCGTATGCAATTCTCACCCTTTTACACCAACAATGCACACCGTCACACCCTCCTCTGTGACATACCTTTCACAATTCTTCTCATTTCAAACTGTCCTCTCTCTCTCTCTCTCTCTCAATTGGTATTGAAAACTATAATTTTTTAAAAATAAGTTATAATTTGTGAGAGTATAAGTCACGTTGCAAAAGATATAATCAATTTTAAAATATTATAATTAATCATAAAAATTATAATTTTTAAAAGTCAAGTTATTATTTTTAAAGATCTTTTTTTTATAATTTTTAAAGATCAAATTATAACTTATAAATAAAAAAATTACTACTTGATGGTGTGTTTTGCGAGATTGAGCAGAAGTGAATGGTTCACGGATCTTGTTAATCATGTTGATGGAGATTACTGGGATATCCAGTCAAAGTTTCTAAGCTCTTGGGGGTTAGACAATCAATTTAGAAGTCTATATCTAAGAACATAGATCAATAGACTGAGAATTTATAGTGGTTCACCAACTCAAAAATTTAGTTAGTTCACTCTAATAAAGTCTCTTACTTCTAATGAAGTCTCTTACTTCTGGAAAAGTTTCTATTAATTGGGAAAGAAAATTACAGATTTACACGAAGATGATGGCACAGATGCTTGGTTGATTACAATGTGAGGGATTTGATTCTTATATATGATATATAGTTGTCTTGCATGATTTCTGCAGTCCACCCTGTAACCAACGCATTCCTTGTATGATCAGTGTGATTCTTTTGAGACTGTTACATCTCATGTGCTAAAATATTTGACAGTTATATTCTCTAGGCATGACGTGCCCTTTTATAAGGTACAAACTGTTACTGTCACCATGTGCACGAGGGTCGCATCGTTGACGATTCCCGACTTACAAGTCCCGAGCAAAATATCACGAGTGAAAAGTAAAAGTAAGGTATTGAGAAGTGATATTTTGATATGGTAATCAATTTTTTTTTTTTAGTAAATGTTTATATATAGATATCTATAAAATAGATGGAGCTATATATTTATATGACTAGATCAATTAATGAGGGCACGTCACATAAGACATGTGACAGAAATAAGAAAAGAAAATTTTGGTAAAAACAGAATGTCTCAGGCTGAGCCAAAATAGTCCAACCGAACAGAGGATTACTAGTGATCTTTAAGGATAGAGGTGATCATGAGCAGCCAATAAGAAAACTATTTTAAAAAGGGTATATTATGAACATGTGACCTAAAAGGTCGACTAATGAGAAACAAAATTTAGAAAGATTGAATCACAAAATTGGGAAAATTTGGTTGAAAATAGGTGTGCCACTTTATTTCGGTCAAAATTTTAAACCCTAAAAAATAAGTACATACTCTTATAAATATCGATTGAGTTTAAGTTTAAGGTACGCATTTTTTTCTTTGATATTTATTTCCTTAATTTTAAATTCTTTATTGATTTAATCATCAAAGTGTCGTCGACTTACTAGGCAAATCTTGATATATGATAGCGTGTTTATTTTATAAGAGAAAAGTGCACTCAATTCAATCAAATGGTCATTCAATTCCCATAATAACTGTCATCATTTTCATCATTGGTACAAAATTTCCTCCTCTTACAATATCAATCAACCAACCAAATTAAATTAAGTCTTATATCTCAATTATTTAGGGTTGATTGTATATCATAATTTGAACTCATTATGGTAGATCTGATAAAATTTTACGTTGATTATTGAATACTGAGCGCAATTCTTTTCTTTTGTCGTAACTTGAAATAGACAGCATTGAATACAACATTAACGGGGGTTTGATTAAATTATAACTATTGATTGTAAAAGTAATGAAAGTGGAATGATCCATTTCAGCTTTTCAAGTGTTAGTCTACATCAAATGATTTTCTGAAATTCATTAGAGTAGAATTATTTCTTGTTCATTTACTGCATGGGGGCATGGGGTGGGAACATTGGTGATCTCATTATTGTCCAATGGTTATGGGCTCAAACACTGTGGGGGTTGTTGTCTTGGTTCTTCACTACCAAAAGCTGTCATGGTGCTCAATCGGCTATTATACAGAAGTTGGTGACTGGTGAGTACAGTAGAGTACTCTTTCATGAATTTGAGTCAATTGTACTATTTATGGAATCAAGCATTGGCCATTAATTAGAAATGGGAAATATTGTGGGGAAAATCTACAAGATCAAAAAAAAATCTTGTCTTATATCAAAATTTATAATTTTTTATAATAAAAGTATACCTTTAAAAGAAGAAGTTATAACTACTCCAAAGAAGAGTATGATCAATTACAGATACCCATGATCAATCATGGACTTTTTTGAGTAATTGTAACTTACTCTTTATAAGTTGTAATTTGACTTTTCAAAATTATAATTTAGCTTTAAAAATTGTAACTTTGAGTATCAATGCTAACCTTCCATGATCGATTATGTCATTTATAAGTTATAATTTACCGTTAAAAATTATAATTTTCGATACCGCACTGCTGACAATACATAGCCTTTACATGATATTGTGCATTTTCAATATACTAAATCATTTGTAGTTTTTTGGTGTATAACCCGCTTGTATATTGTGGTTCCTATTTTAATTCATGATAGACGATCTCCCATTAAAAAATTAAATTAAATTAGGTCCAAAATCAATGGCCTACCATCAAAATGAATGTTATATCTATGATTTAATTAAGCTATGGTATCAACTGATTGAGAGACTATGGCATCAACCTGAAGGAATTCAGCAGCATCAATCAAAGACAACCATAGAAGGTGATTCTGACAAGAATGAATACTCATTGAGGTGAATAAAAGCCTGAGTACTCATTGAAGTATATATGTTGAAATGGAGTAGCATTGAACCTTCATGACCTGAGCTAAAGGGAAAACAAGAAACAAATCATATATAATGTCAGCAGACGCAAAAACAATTTCTTTTCAAAGGAAAGACCTATATTATCTGATGTTAGGATAACTACAATCTCGAACATGGCAACGAAATTTGGTGGGTTTTTTTCTGCATCATTCTGGGTTGCTAAAATAATCGCGCTGTGATCTGTTTCTCATCGAATTTTCTGGAACCAAATTTCAGGGTTCAAGCAGAGGGACCAGTCAAAAACCAATGGATCACCTCTGAAAATTGGAAGTGATGGTCAACTTGTATCTAGGAGATGAGATAGTAGAAAAATTCACAATACAAGAGTAGCTTTAAAAAGAATCTCGAACACTTGGATGAACTCCAGTTTTCCTCATCATCGCTTATCCAGGATACAAGGCAACAGACATTGTCATTGGTTTATGGTATACATGCAGTTCAACCTAACTTGTGCTAATTTATCATTTCTGAACTACCTGACTCAAAACATACTTTACTTAGAGTTTGGGTAACCCAATATGGGTCAACATTTGAATTTGAAGAAGCTGACCCGAGATAACACATCCCTCTTTTTCTTCTTTACGGATATTGTCACAGGTTGAAACTCGATGTGATGTTGGTTTCTGCATAAGAGATCCAGGCATTTTTGGCAAATTAGATAATAGAATATCTACATTATTCGAGAAGCTTGTTACAGGTACTAACTCCAACAGCAGCAGCAACATGCCAGCCAGCATGAAGGAATGGAGTTTCGCGGAAGAAATCATCTGCTATGAAAAGTGCACCTCCTAAGAGTGATGACATCGTATGCACATTGTGGGTCATCCTCAGATCTGGATCTTGAAATGCTCTTTTCGCATATGCAACCTGGAAGGAAAATCGGAAATTGTTCCTCCTATTAAGATCAGCATGACCAACACATGAAGAGATCGATCGTGACAAATTATTTATGTAAAATATTTCATCACGACAGGAGACAAAATACACAAACTACAGACAAAATCACACAAGTTAATGATTTACGTGCACCTTGTAAATGAAAGCAGCACTGCCCATTCAGATCATTTATTGTTAGTTGTCATACTTCATTGTTTTTGGTGAAGACATGACAAGTCAGCTGATTGATTGCCTTTTTTTGAAACATTTTAACCACATTACATTTTGTGCATGTGTTCTAACAAACTTGGAATGGATCAAATACCCGTGCAAAAGGCCTCAGTCAAAAATAAAAGAAGTGCAGGAGGGTTAGAGACATTTAAAGGCTAAAGAAGCTACTGTAAGCAAACATTGAGAGCAAAGAAAGCACATGCATGTGGGTGCAACCTAAGTAACACTGCCCAGTACCAATCTAGGTGGCATCAATTGGAAGCATAAAGAGAACTAAAAGTTGCGGGCAATCACCCGCGAAAAACCGTCCCAACCACGCACCATTTGGATCCGCGCAATCACCCGCAAGCTATGCACATGGGTTAATCCATGGCTCTCTTGCTTATTTATTATTAGACGGTTATAGCATATTACAATATTTGACATGATGTAACTAAATCTGTCAGTCGTGTTGGATAAAACGGATTCGTGTCAAAAAAAAATTATTTGAATTGTTTATTAATCATGTCAGGTTAGATCCACTCGTTTACGAAACAGGTGGTTTAAAGAAGACTCAAACTCTCTAATTATGTGTCATGTTCGTATTGTGTTAACGAATCATGTCATATATTACCCATGCAATGAATATTTACTTCCTATAGAGCTAGTATTGCTAAAACTAACACATTACCATCTACACATAGAAGTTGATGAACCCAAATCATCAAAAGGCAAGCAAAGCTTAGTTAATGGCTCTAGCCTAACCCAAAGCTCAAGAGTTTAGGAAGATCAACGCACGTGGAAAATAAACATCGGGATAACCACTACTCGAAGATAGCACCTATCTTTAATTGTTGTTATCCTCCTCGAAAGACTAGTAACGTAACTTTCACGTCACCGTTTTAGTTATGGCTCTATACCTATAAATTATAGTTCACCTACACATGAGGAACAAACAACTATCTTTCACACATAGATCTCACACCTCATCTTGAGAGTACTCTTGTCCTCTTTCTCTCTCTTAAACTACTTTGTACTCTTTTATTAATATAGTTTTTCGATCATCATTACCATCTTTAGTGATTAGGTCACCCAGACCCAATCACCCAATATTTGTCCCTTATGATTGATTTTTTCACTAATTCCTTCATAACACACACTCGACTGATTGATTGTACATAAA